CTGTATGGAAATTGGAAATTTCTAAAATGTAAATGTATAATCAGTAAGATCACAACAGTATTTTAATATTATGTTTTTTACTTTCATTAGTAACATATTGTATTGATCCTAATCCATTATCTACACTAATGATATTTTTTTTTTTAAGTATGAAATCAAATAAAGAAAAACGTATACTTTATGAAAAACAGATGTGGCGATGTTACTTGTTAGATTTCTAAACAATGTCAATTGTCCATACAGCTATGTCCTATAATAACTACAATACTATAACAAGTAAATAATTTTCAATTTTGTATTGAATAAATGTATATATCTGCATGTAATAAATACGCGTTGGTTTTTACAACTTTGATTTTTTTTTCATACAGTTTTAAGTTAATAATTTAGTATAAGCATTTTAATATAAATTTAGTGGAACTATGATAATAATAAAAATATAATATTTTAAAATTTTATATATTTTATTATATCAAATCACTTGAAAATGATAAAATATCGTGATTTCATTTTTCAATTCGATATTAATGATATCAAACCAGGAGAAATTACATTATTACATAATATGTGTTTTCCAATGTTAAAACTTAAAATTATCTTATATTTGTTTAATCTTATAGACATTGTTTAATTAGTAAGCATTTAAAAGAATTTAACAGAACATGTGTGTTTAAAAACTAATTTTAAAACTAAAAGTCCAATTATTTTGATAATTTCCTTATACACGTGCATCATAATATTGAGTAAAATTTAATTAAGATTTTCTTATCTTAATATTGTCGTGTTCACCGTATATGTGTTTCTTTGTCGGTTATTTGGACCCTATAAATGTAACCTTGTCGACAATGTCATAATTATTACAATAATTGAAAAAATAAGATATTTTACAAAAGTCAAAAAATTTTAACTGCATCGAATTTACCTAAATCAACGATGCAAATCTTCTTGACTTTTAAAATATTAAAATATTAAAATATCTAAAATAAATATAAAAAATACACACACAACAGTGCGTAATTGTGTACAACTACACATCATTTATTATAATGTATTTTGATTATTTTTCCAATTTTATTCAATCATCGTAAAAAACTTTAAACACCGTATCGGTTTGGCGGTAAGAGAACAAATAAAAATATATTAAATACAAATTGTTCCTTGGTCACTAAATTTATAAAAAAAATAAATGTATATATAGATAAATAAAGGTGTAGTTAAAGAAATCAAACTAACAAACTAATGTATTACTGCAATTATCCAAGTAAGTCAAGATTTTTTATGTTTATATTTTTTTAATAATTATTATCACAATAAGTACGAATACAGTGTATTGTACTGTAGGGTATATTATTATAATAATCCCTATAGGTAATTCAGTTTTTTGAATATAAAATATATATTTGAATATATTTTTTTAGCTTATATTAAATTCAATTAAGATTCTTTAATTTATATTAATTTATAAATAAGTGTTGAGTGTTCCAATTGAAATATTTAAAGCAATAATTGTTTTTGTAATTATGCATATAAAATGTATGTATACATTATTATATTGTATTTTATTCCTGTTTTTAGTATTTTTTTTATAGATATATTAGATATACTCGTAGATATTCATCATTTGATTAGTTTTAATAGATATGTAATATAAATATTTTTCTTTTGTTTATTCAGTTGCGCGATATACGTTAAGCTACAGAAAGTTTATCTTTTTTATAAAAGAAATCTATATTTCTACATTCTTCATTTCTTAATTTCCAACATCACAAGTATAGAACATAATTTAGTCAAAATTATTAATTGTTACGTTTTATCTTAAATCTCACAAATTTAATAAAAATGTTTAAATTAGAAAAAAACTATTTATCGATAAACAAAATAAGATACATTTATTTAGAGTATTAGATTACATTTATATCTAATATATCTCTATAATGTTACATAATCATTTCGTTTTATTACGCTATTTAGTTCTTAATGTTATTAATATTAGATCTTATAGTAGCATCTGACAATCTGAACCATTCAATACTTTCATATTCTTCACAACTAATGTAGATTATTTCTATAGTAATTTATGTTCTAGTTGATTTACCGTCAATGGGTATAAATGGTATAATATATACGATTTCTGGAAACGTCAATTTCAATTGTCTAATCAAATGTGAAATATAATATGAAAGAAAAAAAATATTGATCTTTAACTGTAATTTAATCGTGTAATTCGTATCTGTACATTGTACAAACAAGGCGCATCTTAAGAGTCAACAACTTGTTAGAGTGTAGAGAAAAATCGATTCGCTTCGGATCATCAGATTATTATTTATACATATTATAATAATATATTAAATATGATATTCTTCTCAATATTCCCAATAATAGTAGCCGCCGCCAGAAACACTGCTATTGAACACATCGTTTCAAATAATAGTAATAATGCCCACACACTTTAATGATCTGGGAAAAGCCACGGCAATCAATTTGTTTAAGGTGATAATAGAATAAATATATTATAATGTAAGATATACCTATCCATAACACGTTGCATTGGTTTATTGACCGATTGGCTAGTTTTAACATCATGACGATACTATTACTGGTATTAGTTTTTATGTACGACGTTTGACCACCGGCATAACATTTTTTGTTTAGTACTTTTTTGTACAAAAATTCCCGCATGGAATCTAATCAAATCGCTTAATGAGTGTTTTTTTTTATTTAACTCTGTTGTTTTCCACTCGTCGGATATCTAACAAGTTAATCTCACACGATCACCATGATACATCAGGCAATATAACACCATAACCCGGCTAAACGTTTTGCGCTCTCAGTATACGCTCATATACTTGTATTTATCTTAAACAGGTAATATATATAATTCGATAAGAGCGCTCGTATAGTGTACATATATATTACGTTTGTCATAGAGCTTCACATGATATGGGAGTTGACAACGCCGAGTTTTCGAATCTTTCTTGAAGACGGAAATTTGACTCAGTGTTAGAGGTACTCTGTTTCATCGCCCCTCGCCATCCGCCACACGATAAGAAGGTTTTTATCAAAGTCATCGCGACCAGCCGGAAACACGGATAGCCCTCTGTACGCGTAAAGAAACGCGAATAGCCCTCTAAGCGTAAAAGAATCGAAGACGCTATTATCGATGACACAGGAAGTTTCTCATTTCCTCCGAACGGTTTGCTATAGTAAACTTAGATAAAAACCGAACGCAAAATGGGAATCGATCTAAACGTACATAAAATCGGCACACGCTGTAAACAAAAATTTTCATTGTTTTTTAATGGTTTCCTCACATAACCTGAAGCTCAATGACATCATCAATCAAATATACAGAGGGGATATTCTGAGAGTTCATGAAAGTAAAATCGTAATTTTTTTTTAAGACGGTTGAAAATTATTATTATTTTTTTTATTTTACCATACCTATTATACTTAATGATATTATAATAAGATTTGTAATTGAAGTTTACTAAATTACACTATACGTCACTATATCTTTACCTATATAATTAAATTAATTATTGAAAAAATTCTCTATTCGGATTTGTGAATAAAGGGCAATTTGATATTTGTTTATTACTATTATGTTTTAACTGTATGTGGTTATACATGTTGACAACTAATAAATAATAATTATATTTATTAGTTAATAAAAACAATAAGGCATACATAAGAATGGATATCAAACGTTTTGATTACTATTCTTATCTCTAAAAATCTAAATTTAATTATTTGTTTTAAATTAGCTTATATAGCTCAATAGTATAATATGTATTTTAAGTTCATACTTGACTAAGATTTGTATTAGAAAAATATCGCTCGTGTCGTCTACGAATACTAATAACTAATAAATGAATAGTAATTTATAAATACATGATTTTCAATAGAACTGACATGAATTTAGCTATGAGTGAGGTAACTTGAACGTTGGTTAGGTTATTTAAACATGTTTTTAGATTTTATAAGTGCAGTAAGACTATAGTCCGTTTCACAACACTAGATATTCGATTGCAGCGCGACCCGTGGAAAATTTTCTTCAGGGTTTCCAAAAGTGTTCGAATAAAAGGGCGCCAAATTTAAAAAAAAATAATAACACCTGTTATGTATACTTAACATTTTAGTTACCAATGTATTTAAACACAGCAGCTGCTATTATATCCAAGCATTTTGCTTATAGTCAACTCACGTGCTCGTATATACGTAATACTGAGTTATACAAAACGGGAGAGGACAGCTGCAGCTGTCGGCTACAACCTTGATCCGTTGCGCATTGTTATATTACAATACCTTATTTTTTTTTCACATTCTTCAATTCTAGTTTTCGAACTAACTTTGTGACGTACGCACGAAATTCCCGCTCTGACTATCTGTGATTTGAATTTATTATTTAATCATTTTCACTGCAATTTTCAGTTTTTTTTAAAAAAAATTATTTTGCCATTAACTGTGAATAATTTATCATGTCTATTCGTCCTGACATTCACTCTCAAACTAAAAAAACAATTTTTAGTGTTTATAAATATTTTAAAAAATTGTCAAATGACAAATCGAATCTTGAAGTGGCCAATTTTTTTAAACAAGCTCAGCAAATTACTGCGGAGGCATGTGAAGTGAGCATTGCGACTGTGAGGCGTATAACTAGCGAGGCATCTAAGTCTTCGTGTTCTGAATCCGAGTCAGAACCGAAATTTACGTCTCCCCGGAAAACATTCAAACGTGTGAAGTATGCGACTGATATTGACGATTTTGACGTGGACATTGTACGGAGGACTGTGCATGAGTTTTATGACAACCGTGAGTACCCAACTACACAAAAAATTGTAGCTTCATATAAAGAAAAAACGGGTTATAGTGGGTCTAGAACTTCAATGTGGCGAATTTTAAGATCATTAAATTTTAAATATAAAAAATGTAATGACGGCAGACGATTTCTCATGGAAAGGAATGATATTGTTGCTATGCGCGTTAAATTTTTACGCAAAATGTGTAACCTTCGTCAAAGTAATGACACTCGACCTGTAGTTTACTTGGACGAGACTTGGGTCAACCAAAATCATTCACGTGGTCAAATTTGGCAAAATGCCCAAAATACGGAAGGATTAAAGGTACCGACTGGGAAAGGAGGTCGATTGCTTATTTGTCATGCTGGTTCAAGTAAATTTGGTTTTGTAAATGGTTCTAAATTAGTATTACGCTGTAAATCAAGTGCTACACACCCAGATTATCACACCCAAATGAATGCCACTATATTTAAGAAATGGTTTATTGATATGTTGAATAATTTGGAAGAACCTTGCGTTATAGTAATGGATAATGCAAGTTACCATTCTGTATATTCTGTCAATTATCCAAAATCAAATGCTATTAAATCAAGTGTTCAACAATGGCTCAGAGAAAACGGAGTAGATTTTTCTCCATTGGAAACACTGAGTGAATTACGTGAACGTGTTAAGTCATTAATACCTAAAGAAAAAAAATACGAACTTGATGAAATCGCACTTCAAATGGGCCATGAAGTTGTACGTTTGCCGCCATATCACTGCCAATACAATCCTATTGAGCTAATATGGGCACAGGTGAAAGGAGAAGTCGCTAAAAACAATACCACCTTTAAATTTGACGATGTCGAAAAATTGCTAAATGATGCATTGGACTCAGTAACTGTTGACAATTGGAAAAAATGTACCGATCACTGCCATAACCTACAAGAAGAAGATTTCATAAAAGAAGGTTTAAGAGACGAAATTTTGACACCAATAATACTGACAATCAATCCCGATGACAGTAGTGATAGCGACAGCGACAGTGAAGAATTTTAATTTTTTTTAATTAAAAATGACTGAAAATATTTTGATTTATTGTATAAAATAAATTTTTTTGTTTACATTTATAATATTTTATCTACTTAATAAATTGTATTTTAATAAACTGTAAAAAAAAAATGTGTTCGTTATTTAAGAAATAAATATAAAATATGATACTATTTTTTAAATTGGCGCACATTTGGGAAACAATGGTATGTCAAACTTCGTCGACGGGGCGCGCTGCAATCGAATATCTAGTGTTGTGAAACGGACTATAGTATTATATAGTGTCGATATATTATGAAGTACGTTATTGAATTTTAATATTATTGTCTAATAGTTGTGTATAAATTAAAAATAAATACTTTTACGGGAATATTAAAAATAAATAAAACATAATAGTTTAATACGCGCATTTGTCTAAAATGCTCAAGTAATTAATTGCGGAGTCACTGACACGGTGATACGTTACTAGAACCATTGCGAGTAGAATAATAACGTTGACCACAATACAGGATTTAGGGCTGGATGCACATGGTGCTTCGGAAAAATATCAAGTTGTCCACCAGTTTATATCTGTTAATAAATATAAAAAATATCACGATTTCCCGTTAGGCATCGGGTGTTTTGCTTGATGAAAATACTTATAATATTATCTTATTGTAACAACCCCGGATAAAGTATATTATTGTAAGTCGTAACCATTGTAATATAAACATTTGAGCGTCTCTCGTATAGAAGGGTCTGCGTTCAGTATTTCGTCATAACTCATAATACACCGGTGCAACCCGTATTATATTTTACCGACGGCAGAGGTTGCTACAAAAAACACACTTGTATATTATAATCTCCATATACGGGTGAAATTTGATTTCATCAAACCATTTGAACGAACATTATTATTGTCTGCAGTCTGTGATTTATATGCTCGGAAAGTATATAATATATACATATGTTTAACGTAATAATATACATATATTTGTTTTTTGTTTCGAGCGAAACAATACTACCAGACTTGCGAAAAAATGAATATTTATCATATTAAATACTATATAACCTGTACGCTGTCGCATTATTCTGTATTTAGTTTAAAATAAATATAATGTATAGTATTAATATTAGTATCTACCGTTTCACGTGCAATTTATCACATAAAATATATTATATGCTTGCAGAAGTTACAAAAGAATCGATTCTATCTAAGAATTCTCGTAAAGTGGAAATTATTTACTCGATTTAAAAATAATGCTCGAAAATATATCGTAATTGTTACTGACTGTATATTTTTATGTTATGGATATAAAAATATTATATTATATATTTAAAACGTTGTTTCTAGCTTATTTAAATACTCATCAGAGGAGCAAAGACTTTTATGCATTAAAAAATCATCAAAATATATGCATTTAAAAATATGCAGTAAAATAAGTTGAATATATATATAAATATATATACTAATCCGTGATACCCTAAAATTTTTTTTGGAATATTTTATTTATTTTAATTATTTTATTTTGTTCGATTTTCTGTGTATTTATAAGTATAAAAAAACAATAATAAAGCCAATACAGATCTACTTAATCTAATCTACTTACATACCATTAAGATAAAAATTAGTTTCATATCGTTTTTATGACAAATTCACAGTTTATTAAAATTGTTAATCTTGATTTATGTAAAATATTTACTGAAGTGCTAAATTTTCGATAAATTATCAAAATGCGCACTAAAAACTTAAAATACGATATTATAACCATAATAATATGTTCTTTAAATCCAAAAATGTAAAAATATGTAAAAATATTAAACATTTTGAGTATTTGATCACAAAGGTTGTGGAATAAATTGTGTACTTACTAAGCATACGAGAAAGATAACCACAAAAATACCTATGCAAATGCATGAAAATCCTTGCTCTACAAATAAGTACCTATACTCCGATACATAAGGTGAGTTAATAAAAATATTATTTACGGTACCTAATGAAAACTAGAAAACATTTATAAAATTCACTTAAATAATTTTAGACATTTGCCATAAAAATATTATAGTATTATACAGCCTATGGTTTTTTTTCCTATAAATACATACATATTCCCTAAACAATATATAATTATATTATAATATTACATTGATTTTAGTAAATTAAATTGAGGAAAAACTTACCCCCCTCCTCTATTTAATAATAGTAGACGAGTTAATGACTTAATGTATGGATTATTTTTGCACTGCATAACTGGTTGGGAGTGTTGGAACCGGTAACCAATAATCATCCTCATGATCGTCATAAATAGTTGTGGGGACGTGGGGTCAATAGGTTCACTCGCATTAGTATTAAAATATTTACATTATTATTTTATGTTGTATTAGGCGTAATATATACTCGTGACTATACCCAATTTCTTATTTTTATAAATTATAGTACTTAAAATCACTAATATAGTATTACACCTTAGAGCGTTAAAAATAGATTTTCCTTATCAGAAATTTATGAAGTACACCTTACAGTAGGAGGTTAGATTGAGGAAGGGAGACAGCTAAGCCTGTTTGGATCACATAAAATAAGGTCATACTGAAAACTGTAACCTGCTTGGATAAATTAATTCTATGTAAAAACTATCATTAAAAAAAAATACTCAACAAATTTATAATATTAATTTATTTTTTTCTATATCCTTTATAATAAATAGTATATTGTTAGTTGTTATGAAATGTTAGTAAGATACAAACTTCAAATTGATTTTTTTATAGTTAATATGTTATATTATCACGAATATCCTGCAACTCAGTATTTGAAAGTTCACTTAAAAATTGAATTTATTGACATTCACGTTAAATGCATGAAAAACGTTCAGTTTTTATTCGTATAAAGGAACACGTTAATTTGATTGTTTATTTTATTTATAACTTAAAAATTTTTTAATACAATTTTGAAAAAGTTTGAAAAATAAAAGATTTTTTTATGTAATATGAGCATATAATTAATGTACCTAATCTATTATTTTAAATAATTTTTTTTTTTTAAATAATGTTTTTCTAAAATTTATAATTCTATATTATAGTATGTATTTGTAAATTAAAAATATTTTATTATGTTCCATGTAGTATTGTAGTAGTAATAATTGGGATCTTGAATAAATTCAGCAATTTGGTATTTTGATTAATAGTTCAAATAGTTTGATACCCAAAAACTTAACAAATTATTAATAATATCTAGTGTAGGTTGTGATGGTTGTACAATGAATACTATAATATTATTGACTACTGGTAATGTGGCACGTCATTGTCAGTAGCGACGATTGAGTTTTTCCATTAAAAATCAAAAGGGCCACACGGTGTTTCTAATTATAGCGATCCAGACTCTCGTGTGCGCGCACGTTCATTATTACCATTATTATTATTATTATTATCATTATTATTACTGCCGTTACTGGTGTCGGCCTTATACACACACGAGCGTTAGCACTCACACACGCAAAACGTATGTTTTAACTAATGCGCAGTGCCAGGGCGACTAATTAACTGAAAATAAAAACAGCGGTGGTGGATAAATTGATATTTTATTTTTGGACCATGTTTTTAATATAACGCACACACATAAGCGTTGCGGCGGCGACGGTGGTTTATGGAATGCGGTGACGATGGCGGCGGCAATTTTGTCAGTGCGTTTTCAGTGTAGAGTTGAATGCGTTGTATAATTATTATTAAAAACTTAAAAGCAATAAGGTCCAAGTGTAAAAAGAAAAAAAAAAACGTAATGATATAATTTTATAATTAGAAATCCCGAGATGAGTAGGAAGGGACGTGCCGTGATTCCAATTAACATTGCGCAAACACGGCCTAGTTGGCAACATGATAATGGACAAGTGGCGTCGATTTCGTTATTGCCAGTGCAACAATTGGACCAATTAAAATTTAAATACAACGTATTTAGTTCAATTTCGAGGACCCGTTTATAGACCAAATGATATAGTGAAACATTTCCCTAATAACAATCAAAATATTGTAAACACAAAATTGAAGGTTCTAAATAATTTGAATTATCAGCGGATAACATCTTATGGCTAGGCCATATTATTCTATTAATATTCTGGTTAGTTGTTTGGACATAATGAGTCATGATCCCAAATTCCATTTTATAATTTGTAATTATTATTTATTAGGTTATAATAATTAATCGTATAGAGTATAGACTGTAGGCGTAGTTGGTAGCTGGTAGATACTAAAGATAGTAAATAGTTTTACACACGACAGAAATAATTTAATAATTTAAAAATTTGTGTCTTATTAATAATTAATAATAATCATTTATTTGATATAGGGCCATATGTGAAGGACACTGTATTTTGTACATTGTAACTACTAATTGGCAAAAATAGTTTTGTCTAAATTTATAAACATAATCTTGATAGATTAAATACAAATATGGTATATTTTTGTAGAGTGGATTGGTCTCAACATAAAGCTTGAAGACTATAATATCATGTCTGAAACTTTTTAACATTAATATAGTCTTAGATTGAAATTAAATTATATATCTAATAGATAGATATTGAAATAATCGCGCAAGTATCTCAGTCTTAGCAACAAATAATTGTATTTAACATTTTTAACAAATCTATTATACTGCGTGCTATTTTAATTCAGTTTATATCAGTACATGGTCTTAAATAATAACTGTATACCTAATAGTATTACCATAATAATTATATACATAATTACAGAAGGGACAACATTTTGAAAATATAATTTGATTATATTATTTTACTCTTATTAATTGTATTTTGTATTTTTTTATGGACAGTAGTTTTAAGAAGGGACGGTTAATTTTCTTAACAAACCCTCTATATAATATTTATTTTTTTTATGTTTTTGTAATCTGCGAAACTTTAAATAAAAATAAATTAGCGAAAAATTCACTTGAATGCCTTTAACCAAATTGGTTTATTATTATTTTCATTACTTTTAACTAGTAAAAAGATTTGGTTTTTTAATTATGATAATTCTGTTTACAA